TTTTCAAAATTTTCAAGAACCGAAACCAACTGAACGTTCGGGTTCGGTTTTTCATATTCTTTCCAAAGTTTTTTTTATGTCTTATTTTTTTTAAGTCTTATTCTTTTTCTTTTCCTCTTACTTATTTTTTTCCTCTTGTGTGTTCGTGTTCGTTTATGGGGATAAATTTGATGAAATACCTAAGTGTCCATAAAAGCATGCTGATGTATGTGTCTCAAGCCTCATAAGATTTTGAATAATGGCCTTCATGACCTGGTATACACAAACCTTGTCTTCCCAATAAGGCCAACTCATTTATTCTAATCGTGAGCTACCTCACTCTTTTCTCACATGAGTTAAGAGTTTCCTGCTTGGTCCTTATTTTCGCAGCAGAGGTACTACGTTCTCTTACACCATCTCCACTTTACTTCTCCACTACACTCATTCCATCATAGTAACCCTTGAGACTCTCAGAAATTACCGCTGAGGTTTATGGTTACACAACATCTGTGTTTATGATCTTAGTCTCGTGTCACTACGAGCTAAATGAAACCCAAAATTCAACACCTAATGAATTGACGGTGACCAATTAAGTTGCTCAAGTTTTCACTAAAGGATTGACGAATGTACCCTATTAAAATCTCCAATTTTATGAGATTCCTATGAAATTGTTAAAACCCATAACATTTCTTCCCTTGGGATCTAGTTCTTATTTTTCTTACTGCGATTTTATTTTTTTCCAAGCCACTCTTATTTAGCCTAATTAAAAGAAGCCTTTCAACATTTCTTAATAAATGGTTGATCGTAATTTAACGGGAATCCACTTTTAAACCTTAAGTTCTCTCTTGTCCTGTGGCATTAAATGCGCGTGTGGAAATAGTAACGGCTTGTCCCTATGAAACGGCGCTTGTTGGGCGGCGTGATCCTAGGAACCTGACACTCTCTCTCCTACGTGATCATCGCACGCCCCAACTGTCATCCATCTGTCACTCAACAACCCGGTTCAAATTTCCATAAGAGATTTGAAACGATTTTTCTCTCTCCTATCACCCACTATAAATAGCCCACTACACCACCTTTTACCTCTTTACCACCTTCAAAATTTCCAGAGCGCAAATACTCCCAAACAGTTTCCTGTTCATCATCTTCTTCATACCTGCAAAAATGGCTGATTCCTCTTCTGTTCATGCTACCTCACAGATCCTTCCCATTCGCCCACAACAATGTCTGGTCATTGATCTTAACCCACTGGCGTACGACTCCTATATGTCGCCGGTCATAGAGTGTTTGAAGTATTCCCAACTTGTTCCGGCTCTCTCCAGAATCGAATCTGTGCCGATGGTGGCCCTATCGCAGGTCTACGCGACTGCATACTACGACAAGGCCGTCGACCGGGTGTTTTTCGAGATTGCAGAACACAAAACCTCAGTCTCTCGCCAACGTTTCTGCACCTTGCTAGGGTTTGCTGTTGACCCTTCAAGAGTTCAT